CCCCCGCCCCCCAGCCCGCCTCTGCCCACCAGGAGGAGACCCACGGGGCCCGCTGCTCCCGAGCCAGCACCAACAGCACCTGCAAGGGGGCGGCCTGGCCCCAGCCCTACACCTGGGTAGGCGCGTGCTGCCCCGGGCCTTGCCCCCGCGGGCCGGAGCCCGGGCTGCGCCATTACCTCTGCGGCCGGCGGGACCCGGCTGCCCTGCGCCCCGCCTCTCACCTTCACCGTCCTGCACGCCAGACCGCCATGACACTCCAGCAATCGTCAGCCGAGAGCGCCGAACCCTGCTACGCCATCACGGCCGCGACCCGCCCAGCCTACCCCTGCTCAGGCCTTAGCCCCACCCGCAATGCATCGTGGGCGCTGTAGGCTGAGGCACCCAGACATTGACCCAGTCGCAATGCATCATGGGAGTGGTGTTGAGGCGCCGACCTTGGCCGCTTCGCAATGCATCATGGGAGCGGTAGTCCGAGGCGCTTCTATCTTGGCCCTGTTCGCAATGCATCGTGGGATCGCAGGCCTGAGGCGTTTCGCTCTGTGGGAAGGCGCAGTCTAGGAGGTGGCCGTGAGGAGGCCGTTACAGCCAGGGGCTAAGCAGCAGCGTTTGAGCCTGGGCTGGGCAACTCCTTGCCTGCAGGCAGTGGTGCCCAAGGGCAGAGCGTTGCACAGTCCATTTCAGCTGCAGCGAGTTCATGGGGAGACAGCAGCTGGCCCCAGGCTGTGGCACTGCAGGGTGGATTCCCCTCCACTCCTTAGCATGGCCCGCCTGGCTTGTGCCCTTTATCGTGTTATCCAACACCGTGTTTCAAACACACCCAAGCCTCTCACAGGCACAGCACCCCGTAGCCCTCCAGGCAGTCTCATTACGCTCTGGCTGGATAGCTCAATAACCCTTATTTCAAGTTACTGGCTTAAAAGATTTATACTCCTGAATGACAGGACTGCCCTTTGTATGTTTAAACTGGTGCCAAGAGGATCTACTCCAAATGCGGAAGTCAAGTGGATTGTCCAAAAACAGTCCTTGTCATGCATGTGCGTGACATATGAATCTGAACCCAAGCCCCAGGCAGCAGCTCCTTCCTGGTTAGGTTTATTTTCTTCTTTGTGAAATGAAAATAAATACTGTGTGTTATTGTTCCCCGAACAGCATTCTATTGAGTATGGCTCTTGATACCTATCTAGGTAAGCCCTTGTATAGCCTCTTGACCCTGTAACAGGTGAACAGTTCACAAGTATTAATGAATGCAACCTTACCAACACCTTGGGAGGGGAAATGTAATTATCCTTGTTATATAGATGAGAGAGAGGTATTAAGAAATTAACGCTGGGATTTTCAAACGTGTCTATAGGATTTAGATATCTAATTCCAACTGATTTTGAAAACACAAGCCCAAGAGATATCAAAAATCACACAGCACATCTATAGCAAAGCAATCTGCACCCACATTTCCTAAGGCCATTTTCCACGTCTTGAATCAAAAGACCATTCCCCCTCCATTCTTCAACAGGATGATTGATAATGATAAACGACCATGTAAATCCTCAAAATTAACCATGATATAGAGTTGCATACTCCTGTGCCGCATCTGCTGAATCATTTGCTGCAGACAATGCCAGTCCAAGAGACCTATGCATGCTTTCATTCACTCGCAGAAAAAAGCAGCCTTTATAGAATTAACTACATATATTTAAAGATTCAAAAGCATTGCTTACACGTCATCATTTTGTTAAAGTTTTAATGTAAAAATCTCCTGTTTGAAACTACATCTTGTGTGAAATACTAATGCACAAGAAACCTCTGATTCCAATCATTTTCTTGGGCAGGTGAAAAACCCCAACAAATAAGTAGCTAAATCTATTGAATAAATACATACAACTTTTCAGCACCTTCTCAAGTGATTAAAATCCCTTTGTTTGGTGACAGTGAACAATTGACTGGATTCAGTTTTTAGTTATAGAAACATTTTAATTCTTTTACTTTCGTGTGTGTGTGTGTGTGTGTGTGTGTGTGTGTGTCTGTGTGTGTGTGTGTGTCTGTGTAAATGGATCCAGAAAGAAAAAGAAAACAATGGCAAAAGAAAAGCTTAATGCCCTTTTACATTCTCTCTTAAAACTTATGGCTAGCATTTACTTCAGCCATGTGTCTTTTATCCTTCTTCACTGCAACTATGGACTTAGAGCAAGCAAACAACAGGGTCATTGCGCTGTGGGGAAAACAAGCTGAGTTCTTTAATGGTTCATATCATCTGTCCATATCAGATGAAAGGGGCTCTCCCTAGATTAGTAGTTTTAAGTAAATGGAACAGTCTCCCTGGAAACCCATACGGAGCTGGGTTTTGGAAGTAATTTATTTTTAAAAAGATTTTGTGTGAATGCAGTGTTCATGGAACATCCTAGATCGGTAGACCTGGAGACTAAAATCCTCCATTCAGTAAGCAGAGTTGATATGCCATGGGTCTTGGCAGGACATGTTTCTTCTATACTGGCCCCCCACTATGCCTCCCCCATGATTCTATTCTATACTATATCAATTCTTATCCCAAACACTTCACCCTAGTATTGAACACTTTCCAGCCATACCTCCAGTAACAAAACCAACATTTTTTAGGGAGATACGTATGTAATATTTTGGAATATTTAAGTGATGATCGGAAATAATATCCTCTAGCTGTGAAAAAACAACTTAATGGCCCACTTAGGGTAGATCCAGGAGGCCAGTCAATGTTCAATGTAATATGGACACTTGACCTGGGAACTGGATTGACACCATCAAGGACATTTTGGAGAGGCCAGTGAACAGGGGTTGTACTAGATGACCTCATGTGGTCCTTTCCAGCCCTACTTTCCTATGATTTTATGAACAGCTACAGGAAGTTTACAACTTTTGACATAAATATGAGATAGATCTGAACCAGTAACAGAAGTGAAAGACTTCAGTACTAAATATCTCAAATATCCTGTTCTACATAGCATTCCCTTTCTAAGAGGTCACTTACACATACCCACAGACACACAGTTTGGTGAAGCATGCAAATTTCCTTCTAGCTGCAGCAAAAAAAGTTAGGATGAGATCTTTCACCTAAACCCAGAAGTAGAATGACATAATCTAACTACAGTTTGGCTAACAGGATCTACATGTGTTACCATCATTGCTGTATTTAACAATCAACTAACTTCAAAGAGGTATGAAGAAGATGAACTTCAGGCTCTGGCTATTCAGATTCATTCAGTATTTTAACTACTAAGATGCTGCTCCCCAATACTGGAGCCAGCTCCATGACTTGACACCTAACATATGGTTGGAGTAGTGTTCAGAAATTATTCCCTAGTGTCTGTTCCTGTGTACATGGTGGACAGAAACAGAGTTCTGGATCTTTGGGAGACGGGCTGGTGGGAAGAATAAAGAGGTGACCTGCCTCCATACAACTGGATTTTCTGTCCAAGAAAACACTTTGGAAAGTAATGCCTAAGAGTCCAAGTAAACAGCACTTCCAAGAAATAGCAAATCATGAGTAACATGGGAAAGGAAGGCACAAAGAATCCCCATCCAAATTCTATAGCTAGGCCCCTAGGCATGACCTGCAGTGTGACAGGAGAGAGCTTCCAACAGCAGTCTTAAAACAGAATTAGAAATCATCATCCAAATAGCTTTGATCGATGCTTCAGAGACTCTCAGCAGCATTCCCTGCTCCCACTCAGCAGTGAGGGGTGCTGGGGAAAAGTCCTTCTTGTGGAGCCTAGCTCTAGGGGTCAAGAAAAGACACTGCAATATAACGGGTCCCTTTTGTGGTCGGAAGACCCTCATGATAATGTGTCAGGCGTCCTGGATGCATGAGTGTCCAACCCTTCCGAGGAGCTCGTACAGAGCAGTTGTAGCGCAGAAACCGGCAACCTCCTCCCTGTGTGAAATAAAACCAGAGAGACCCGAGCTAAGTACTAGCACCTACATGTAAGAGAAATTATTCTGGCACTGTCCCAGCAGCCGTCAGAGTTCACCAACTCCTTCCTGATAGCCTGGGAAGCTCCCATTAGCTCCCATCTTGGGTCTGCCTCTAGGAAATTTTGCAATTCAAACATAGTTGCTAATTGGCAGGGATTTAGGAGGGTGTCAGCTGTCTAGGATGAACTGGGAGCTGCACTGGGTGGTCTAGTCTGAGACTGGACAGGGAGACTTTCAGAATGCCCTCCTTCTACATGGACTCTTACTTCATAATCTATTCCTACACGGTTCAGGGCAATGTTGATGGTGAAGGTAGAGGCATCATGGTGAGGCACCAAGGAAGGTTGCTCATCAGGTCTGTAACGCACAACAAAGGCCAGCTCAAATTGCGTCTGCCGGAGAGAAAAGAAACCCATAAACATATTGCCGGTTACAGCTCTCAGAGGGCATTCAGCTATGGGTTATGGGTATACCCTTGGTGTAATATCCAAAGGTATTGTACTTTCTCACATACAGCACCCCCCCCCCCGAAATAAAGCATGCATCTT